CTGGTTTTATTTGAAATCTACTGTATCACATACAGTAGGAAATGAGAGAAACTGAAAGATTGTTTTGAACTGAAACTGTTTTCCTAGAGATTTTCACATCAGTTTGCAAAAATGTGGCTTTTAATAACCAAAAGGATTTCATGCATCACCTGATTTTCCTGTTTCACTTTCAACCCCACAAACTATGAATCCCAGAGTACCAAAGCAGAGTGGCTATGTAGAGCTATGACATGAGTTTTACTTTTCTTTCAGTGTTTAACAGAGAAAATACTAAATTTTGGAATTCAAAGAGAATCTAGCACTCCAGAATCCAGCAAGTTCATGCATTTATTTTTTATTTTTGGAATTTGTTTGCAAAATCCTTAGCAAATTGGGAATTTGGCTGTTAGTAGATTGGAAATTTGGAATGCAAGGAGGCAGTTTGAAGCTTCTTTTTGAAAAAAACCTGGCAACAACCTGTTCTATAAATCTGATTGGCGTGAAAGTCCTGCTGTGCACAAAAGCCCTTGGAGATTACATCACTGGCACTTCTGCTACAGAGCTTCTACTGGAAAGCAAACGCTTCTTACACATTAGTGCTTCCCAAAACAGCCAAGAAATTTCCTCAAATGACTTGCTCCTGAAGAATGTCAGGTTTCTATTGAACTCGCAGGAGCCCAACTTTCCAGGAAATTGGTAGTAGACACTGCTTCATGGCTTCAAGACCACTGGTCTAATAAGAATTCTCTACGTTTCCCTGATGGCTTTTCAATTTATCAGTTACGACCAGAGAAGCATGCCATTTTTGGAACTGATCCATACTTTAGTTACTTACAACAAACTTTAACAGCAAAATGGAGTCAAGTGAAGAGAATGACAGCTTTTTGAAGGTTTACAGTGACAACCTTTTTGCAGTGCCTTAGCCCAGCAATCAACCAGAGAGTACTGAGTTTAAAAACAGAGTTCTGTCACTGTTTGAAGAACATGAAACTCTTCTCTGTGCACAGATATTAAGAGAGATCACTGCTATGAAGCCATGCTAATAAAATCAGGTTTATAAGGTAGAGAAAGGGCACAACACTAAGTCAACAAGATACATTTCTCTTGAAATGGAGTAAATAGGTTGTATTAATTTTTTTTTAATTCCAATATTGTATTTCCCTAGAACAATAGTGGAGACCTAGAAAAGAACTGAAACATTTATAAAATGCTAACTTCAACTTTGTTTTACTTTCATTTTGTTTAGGGACAAACGTGTATGGTCTTTATCGCACCTTTATGTAGAAATAAATCAGAAGAGACCACATGATATAAGAAACTTCATTTCATTCATGAAAAATCTGTCCTTTGGGTTTAGACGGCCTGGAAGATAAAAAGTGAAGTGCATCTTTGCAGTCTAAACAGAAAATGAGACTTCAAAACCAGGGACTGTTCTTTCTTTATCCCCTTAGCTGACAGAGAGCAATGAATAAATGAATATAAATATCAAATAACCCTAGAATGAGGATTCAAGCAGGACTGACTCTATAATGCCATACTTTCACAATCACTAAACTGGCAGCAATTGGCACTGCTTCTGTAAAAAGAAGCCATTCTTTCCTCCGCACACAAAGATTGTATCTCACGCAATCACAGTGATTTTGACCCCGAACAGTTCCTGGGCTCTTGCTGACCAACACAAATACCTACAGAGCCATGGAGCCAGAAACACAAAGCCAGAGAAGAAAAGGGAAGAATATGACCAATTCTTTCAACAGCAATATAGCTTTAAAGTGACTGGAAAATTACAGTACTAGTTCCACTGTCTCTTGCAGTATCTATAGTGGTCTCTTAGAGATCTATAACCAAAGGAGGGAAATGTCATGAGAGGTGTCTGACTAGTAATAAAGTGTCTTGGAGGCTACGTTCTCCAGGGCATACGCTTTATGGTGGGGGGATGCTGAGGGTGCAGATCCCCTCTGACAAGATATAACTGAACAGTAGTCTTTTTTCACAGAAATGAGAGAGTTAACTGATTTTTCATTTCCTTCTGGAACCCTGGAAATAATGATTCCTTATTCTTGACTTGGTACAAAAAAGGTAAGAGGAACTGTTGTTTCTGTATTTTGGTTTAAATATTTACGTCAAAGATGACAGACTGTTACTGATTTTGTAACTTATCATATGTAAAAGCTATAATTTTCACCTTTTAAGCATTAAGAACAATTTTTCTTGGCAGGAAAACTTTGTAGCGAACAGACATGACATTTAAGAATATACTTGCCTTTTGCCTTTGTAATCTGTCACAGCCTTCAGATTATGGTAGTAAAATAAAGAAATGATAGCCGGATGGAGTTTGGTTTTTTTTTTTATAGACTACATATGGAACAAAATGGAAAATACATTGCTAAATAAATATAGATTGCTAAATTTTATCATTAACATACTGAAATAAAATGTATATTTATCTGAACAGAATCCAGATCTTAACACACATTTATACAAAAGGATGGAATATCTCAGCTTGGAACTTCCCACATACTTAATTATGACAGCTTGATGTTCATGCTCACCTTGCCAGAATTCAGGCAGAATTATCCAAAAACTCCTGGTCAAAAGGATTAACATAGTGAAGCTTCAATCTAGGTTATACTTCTGAGCCATGCCGTAAAAGTTAATGAATGAAAGGAGCTACCCATTTAACCCAGTTACAGTCAGTGTGACTTACTTCAAAACCTTTTAGGTTAATTTTCCTTACACTTCCAAATAAATTTTGAATTGTGAAAACTGCACCTAAGACATTTTTTAAAAGCACTAGTAACAAGACCCTTGGACTGCAGGCTAGCTGGGAACATAGTTTTCATTGAACATAGCCTTTGGATATATCTAAACAACTTTTTGTTGAAGGAATGCAGTAGGAGGTGGGAAAACTCTTATTGCCTTAACATTGGATTTTTCTGTATCTTTGGTCATCCAACTATTTAAGCGTGCAACTAAGAGAATCACATTTTTTTGATATATGTCTTGTTGTCTTTATATCTTCCAGTCATACTGACATCCGTTGTCACTTACTCCAGAGTTACAACAGTTTAGTGTAACTAGCTGTAGACCCTTCTTTTTCAAATGAATATATTCTCCCTCTTTTTGAGTGGAAAAATTAAGTATTGGGCTGGGTAACAACATATACAAGGTGCAACACATACATGAATTAAATCATAATTGCCAACACCTTATACAAAAATGTTGTCTGGAATGCTGCTTAGGAAGCAAAGAGTTCCCCAAACCACTCCTTCCTGTTTGAACAATTGTAGGTTTTACTAAAGACAAAAATCATTCTGCAAACGTAGCACTTACGAAAGTGCTTAGTGTGAGAAAAATTCAAAATTCCAATTCTCCCAGTAAAATGCCCAACTCATCCCTATTAGGCGCTTTATGTTTGGGAGAGAAGTCTTTTTTCCGTCCTGGTCAAACCACCCACCCAATAATGGATACAGTGCCAATTAACTTATACCAGCTGAAGGGAATGGATGGCTAGAGCACTCTCTTGTAGGTGGAGGAGACAGTTTTGCATCATCTTGGGGCGGGGGGGGGGGGGGACCCCCTTTTTTGGGGGGGGGAAAGCCCCTTTCTTTAATAAAACAACAGTATAGAATTGGTTACTGCCCTAGTCAGTATTGTAACATCCACTTTTTTTTTTTTTGTGGATCTAGCTAGCAATAAGCAATTTGAGAACAGTTTAACAAAAATGAGCAGTAAATCCAGAATGGCATATACTGCCTTCCAAATATTAATGTATTTTCCCACATTTTTAAAATGGAAATGAAACAAAAAAAGAACCACTTACAGTATTATTTAGCTACTTGATTTTAATAAAATACTGTCACTCCTGATTATGTATGCCAAGGGAAAAAAAAAACAACACACACAATGGAATAGCAAGTCTACTGTCCACTTCAGTGTTCCTTAAAGTTTTTCTTTTTGTGGCTTTTATTATCCCCATCTTAGCAAGTGGAGGGGATGTACTCAGAATCTTCCTGATCAAGCACTGAGGCACAGGATGTTTCAGGCTCATATTTTCAAAACCTTCTGTACCTTTTTTTTGTGTGTACATTTATCACATCCCCAAGGCAGCGAGCACATTGTCAGGGAAACACTGATGTAACCTAATCTAACTCTGGAAATAGTTAATTGAATTAAAGGGTGGGGGGGAAATCACTGAAAGGGCACACAGATTTCAAGAAGAATTGCAAATATTTATGATTCAGATAAACAAATCCTGATAGTAAAGAAAGAATCAACAACTGTTTCTCATGCTGGCAATATATATTTATTGTCGTTTTGGAGATAGGTTACCATGTGTATATCAGGACTTCAGACTAAAAACAAATCGGGATTATGAACTCTTAGCATATGCCAGTTGGAAATTAAATGACTGAATGTAAAGCTGACCTTTAGAAGATCTTCAGTTGGTTTATTTTTGTGTGTCGTTCCCCCCCCTTTTTTTTTTAAATTACAAGCTGAACATCTTCCCCTCCCCCTTCATTTCAACCTAAAAAAAAAAAAAAAGGTCATCCAACTGCAGCTTTTTCTCATTTTACTAATCTGCTGGCAGTTTCAGAACACTTACATTGTTGATTCTACAACTTCAGAAGGAAGTTAACCTTTACAAATGGTGTTCTTCCTCCACTTTACCTGGGTACTGTGTCCAACTTTAAGGACTAGACTAAAGCAGATTAAAGATTTACTTATATTAGACTATTGCGGTTACATTATTATGGTGCAAACCTTCAACATATGCGCTTTGCTGTTCCAGAACAAGATACAATAGTGCAAGATCTGAGAGTCTGTGCAAAAGAAGCCGCAGTGCTACAAAGTCTTGAAATAGCTTTCCTCTCCGTCTGACATGTATTGACTAACAAACATCTTCCTCCCATTAATTTCACCAATCCCAAATACTACCCAAAGGAAAGAGAAAGATGAAGATATTTCATGCTTTTATACAAAAAACAACTCCCCACTTGAAAAAAAAAAAATCCTCCAACTCCAGTCTCCCACCCCAAAAAAACCAGTCAAAACTATTTGTTCCTCACCCTCCCAACCCTCTTCTAGCTTTTGTAAGTCACCGTTAAAACAAATGCATACAACTTATTGTACAAATATGAAGCTGCAAGCATTCAAGTTACAGAACGTTCTGAAAATATTTCAAGCATAAAAAGTACACTAAATAATTGCAAAAATAAAGTTTCACTTTTTTTAAAAAACATTTTGATCAGAGCTCAAGCAAAACAAACATTTAACGATTCCTACTTCAGTTTAACTTCATAAGAACACCACCTTCAGAAGTTAAAAAAAAAAAAACTCAGATTTTGGGTGATAAAGTAACTGACCATGTCTTTTAATAAAGAGAAATGGTATATACAACAATGGCACAGACCTTAAGCATCAACGACATATTTCAGCCAAAAGTAAGTCTACAAGTGATCTGAGTCCTTCTTAGCATCAAATGGTACTGATTACCAAGAACCACAATCTGCTAGAAATAGACATTAAGTTAGACTGGTACGAATGGAAGGAAAGATCCATGACATCAAATAGGCTCAGTTTTCGTCACTGAACTTTTTTTAGGCTAACAATTTCACTAGTGCAAAACCATATGTTTACCTGATTAAATGAAAACTCGTAAATGTCACAATTTAAGAACACTCATACAAAACTATTTTTTTCTTTTAAAAAAGTGCCATATACCATACTTTTACTAAAAAAGTTACAAACTAATGGAAGACTGTCTGCCTCCATCTCTTGTCAACAAGGAAAGGCCAAAGTGATTCTTTGATCCCGGCTCGAAATGGTGTTCTCTGACCTATCCCCAGCATCTCCAACTTGGAGCAGTCTAGCTGAGCATTCCTCGGACGAAGAGCACCCACAACGGGACAATCAGTAATCTAAAAAATAAACAGGGAAAAAACCCCAAGACACCAACAAGTAATGAGAAATGACAGAAAAATATTTATTCCTATATATGCTCATTTAGAAGTTTTCCTTCATAGCTTTCTATCTAGGTACATTTCCCTCCTCCCTTCCAACTATTTTGTGGGGTTTTTTTTGTTTGGGGCTGGGGTTTTCTTGTTTGTTTGTTTGCTTGTTTTATGGTTAATTTCATTTCAACGTAAGAGATGACAGGCAGAGTTACGTGAAGTGTCTTAAGTTACTGCTCACCCTTTATGGTTTTCTACGTTTTACTCCTTTTTTCACCCTATGACTATAATCACAAGGTAAAAAGTGCTGTAAAATGTTGACAGAACCATGTCTTGATTGATATACTTGAAGACAAACAGATCGGGGCAGAAAAAATTCACACTAACTTAGTGTTCTCCATTCTTCTTCTCTCCATCTTCCAGGCCACATTTCAGTTCCAGCCTTTACTAATTCAGAATTTATTTTGGATATAAATAAAATACTATTTACATGTTATATTCTCAAAACATTATCAGTATGTCTTTAAGAGTAGTCTTACCTTTACGTGTCAATAAAGCTGCAGGACAGGTGTTTTAAGCAGAGCAAAAATGATTTGGATTTCTTAAGTGCACATATTCAGAAATAAATCTGGACATTGAAAAGTTCTTACAGACTCCTACCTTCAAGTTAACGTTCTGTGAATCTGTAAGCTTTTTTAAGGACAAAAATACAACAAAAAATATGGATTTACTCATGACTAAAGGGAACTGTTCTTCAGAAATACCATTACACTACAGACTGCAAAACTGGTTACTGACTGACTGGGTAATTTTCGTAATTCAGCAGGTCAAAGCAGCTGTTGTTCTCCTGAGTTAGATACCAGACAGCATCCTCAGCAATACATCTGCTGTGCCAGACATACTCACACAGATTGTCCTGAAGAGGAAGCTTACTTGTATAGCTAGCATAAGACATACTGCTGGAAACGATAAAGTACATCCATCTTTCTACAGGTCGAACAACACATGACTTACTGGTCTCAAGTGGCTGCTGGGAAGGTTGAAAGCATCTGCAATTGCACATGCCATTTCATACTTAGTCATCTGTTCATTGCCAGACCAGTGAAATGTTCCTTTTACTGATGGGTCCTACGGAAGAAACAGGAAACAGAAGTGAAGAAAAGCAGCTAGCTAGCCCTCAGACTAATTCCTGTGCAAGAATTGTGCAGAATAATCTTCCAGCAACATCCTATCCTGAAAGGCATGTTAACAACATCTCACTGATGTTCTGGAAATGTCTTGTGCATTTTCAGAGAGCACCTGCCTAGGGATTGAGACTGAAAACTGGTGTTACATACATCTGGCCTGACTTTTCGCAAACAGCTTATATTCTATAGAATTAACAGGAGGGAAAGGAGCGAGCCAACCAACCAACCACGGTCAAATAGCTGGGGAGGAGGCACTTGGCTGTTCTAACTCGAACACAAATGTAAAAGGCACCACATTCATTCTGAATGAATTCTGCAAACCACGTACAACTCTTATCAAACAAATCGATTGCGCCATGTCCACCATATGTGCATGGTCCATTTTTTTCAAAGATACATGTATGAAAAATAAAGGTGGTTGGTTGGTTGTTACCTTGCAAAGGTGGTAATTTGAAGGTGCTGTGGTAAATAAACACACTGAAGTATTTAAGTCCCGTGGCTTATTTTTGCCACCTCAGTGTTCTTAATACAATAAGCAAGGGCATCTTTGAGAATTACATTCAACCACCGTGGGGTTTTTTAAGTCCAAAATGGCAATTTTTAAAAGGCATATTAGAGTAAGTTAGGTATTTGCATTTCTCTCCTGTATATTAAAGACCCAGGGCAATTTTCAGAAGGATCTGTCCCATCACTTCACGCGCTTTTGTTTCAAATATCAGAATATCCACACACTGTCACGTAAAGATACTGTGGTATTACAGCTAGTTCTTTCCTCCCTCCCAGTGTTCCAGAAATGCATAGAATAATGCAGGTTATATGCAGTTCTCAGTTGTTCAGAAACAAAGCCAAGAACTCCAACTGTTTTTACCTTGAAGAGGCTTGTTTCTTTAAATTCTTACCAACATTCTCTTCTCTGCTAGTTGTCTGCAAACAGTTGCTACATCCTTGACATTAGTAGGAAATCTTTGTTGCCAGTGGTCCATGTTGGCAGATTTATTACTGAACTGCACTTTATCAAACATAACAGTCACAGCACTTTCCTCCAGTCTTTCTACCTCTCCATACAAGACAGGAATCCTAAGTACTGCAGCATCTAAAAGAAAGAATATTTTAACAAGTATTAACATTGTTATGAATAGGTGTGAATGCTGTCGCATAATCTGAAAAGTGTTTTGGAAGCATTAAGAAATATGTTGGTGATATTAAGCATCTACAAATCACAAAGAAAATGCAATTAATATATTTGCCCTCAGAATACAATTCTAATTTATATCAATTAAAACAGTTTATAAACACTAAGTTTATATAAACTTATTTTCATTTATGCCATTGATTTCTATAAAGTTAACAAGCTTTCATTAACGCTGCAAGGAAAAAAAAAAAAGAAAAAAAAAAAAGGCCTGTTTGCGTTAGAACAAGAATTAAAAAATGAAAGAAACCCCTGCACTATGCAGTTACTCCAGCACTCCCCATCCTCCCTGGGTAAGAGCAAGAACAAAAATTCACACCAATCACAAATCACCATATTCAGGCATCAATTACAAAGATTTTTCGTCCAGCATGCAGAAGTCTCCTGCATAAAGGAGGATATTATTTACCAGAAAAAAAGACATGAACCTTGGAATAAATAAAAAGCTTGACAAATAAGGAATAGGTTCACAGAATACAGTAGTAAACAATACTAGATTTCAAGATTGCAATTTGAGAAATTAAACTAACAGTAAACAAGTGCAAAGAGAAGGATATTTTATGATGGAATACATTGTACTAGTCTATCTCAGTCATGAAAACTCAAAAGGCCTCTTTGAGGGGAAATCCAAGAAGGCTATGACAAATTCATTATAAGCAATACAGATATTTTTAGTTAAAGAAAAAAAAATAAAATCAGTCCTGATATTAGAAGTGGAAGTCACCAAATGATTGCAATTCTTAAAGATTTGTAGGAAAATGCTATAGCTATTAGAAAGACAAAAAGAAAAAGCTAACACACAACTTATTCTTACAGAAAAATAAACTGAAATAAGTACTTACACAAGAAAAACAAATACAATAAAAAACCCAATGTGACACTGATTTCCTGCTGCTCTAGAAACAGTTATTTGGTCATTCAGCAAATATGTTCTTCCTCTCTTTAAATACTGCTTGAAATACCTCTTTTTTAATATCTTGAGAAGTATTCATTTTTTGAGAAAAAGACTGCCGCCTTTTTGTTCTGAAAGTGCTACCTGAGACTTGGAGAGCATTACCTTCATTACCAAGGGTTCTGAAGACCTACTGCAACTTTTTCGGTTAACAAGCATGAGTACTAAATATAACTTGTATCCTCTCCTAATCAAAGTAAAATATATTTTAAAAAAATACGCAAAAAGCCAAATTATTAGTGGAGATTCTTGCATTATACAACAGAAATGGACAGGGAAGTTCTTCACGCAACTACAAGCATTTAATGGACTGAATTCTACCTGTACAATATTAGCAAATTAAAGGTTGGAAGACTAATACACGTAAAATATTTATATTTGTATGAAACAATAGAATTGACATTTTCAAGCATCTTACTCAGCACCATCTCGAAATTCCTTCTGCTAATATTACCACTGCTGCAACCCACTACTGCCTGACAGATCATGCTCAAAAAGGTTATGAAACAAAACTGAAGTGTTGAGTTGGGGGAAGGATCTAGTAAGATACCCACACGTACGTGAATTTGGTGCAGTCTTATCTTCATTACCAATCTAGAAGAGGGAGCAAACAGCATCACAGTCAAATTCAGAGATGGCATTTAAGTAAGAGGTGGAGTGAGTAACTATTTAAATTGATTTTTACTTCAATAAGACTTTTCCTATCAGAGTATTTTTTTAGAAAGTCTATTTCTTACTAGTAATGACAAACCTAAATTAAGGCCTATCATTTTCAAACATAGTACATATTTACTTACTGAAAGACCATCACAATAATTTATCAATTGCTCAATTCTCTGGTTAGGCAGAGCAGAATCACAGTGCAAGTACCATACTGACACATTTCTTCAAATTCTTTGAGAAAATAGAAGTGCTTCTTTCCTTATAATCTGTGAATGGAAACTGACAGCATACTAACTAGAAACAACCAAACCTCTCTTTTGTACGAGAAATAAGTTTTAAATGCAACAGAACACGTTCAGTCCCAAACTTTTTTCCTTTATTAAGTAGAATTTTTAAAACTATGTTTGCATATTTTGAATACCATTTTTCATTAAGAAAAGATTTAAATAAAAAATAAAAAAAATTAGTTGCTTAAAAACAGAACTATGTTACTAACCCTTTAGAAAGTGTTACAAGCATGAATCTGATGTGTGTGGTAAGCTAGGTGGGTAAAAATAAAATGGATGGCCTGATGGGTTACGTAATGAGAGCAAAACAGGAGATCAGCACAAAAACGGAAAGAGTAACAACAGAAGCCTATGTTGATTTTATCTGCATTATTATTGAATCGCAAGTCTGTTTTTCCCTTCAAGTAAACATACGTTTAGAACAATTGCAATGCATCCCCATGAGTAACAGCAGCTATATATTAAGTGTGGTAAAGCTTGTGACATTACAATATATCGATGATGTATTTTATCTTTGCTTAGGAATAGTTGATTCCCAGTAGACAAAGGCTTGTGAACATCCATCAGCAGAGACTAGTAACACAAATGAAGATCGGAACAAGTAAGAAATAAAGCTTTAGTCAACCTGTAAGCAATAGGAATCGTTTATGAGCAAGGAGACTGACTCCTAATCCCATTCTTTTCTAAACCTCGTTTCCATGGTTTTGCAACTTTACCACTGACTTATGAGTCTATTAAGCTAATATACAGCTAAGTAAAAATAGAAAGCCTCTATTAAAAAATGTGTGAGTGTGTCCTTACCTTCATTATTTTCCAGGACTGCCTTTTCACCCTCCAGTTTGGTTTTACCATATAAATTCAGGGGATTTGGTACATCAGTCTCCTTATAAGGTGGGCTTGTTCCATCGAATACGTAGTCTGTACTAATGTAGATCAGAAACGCTCCAACTCCAGCTAGGAGGAAAATGTTTATACATAATCTATTTTAATTCCTGCCGTGTTTGAAATCCCAATAAAACTTTAAACAAATCTCCAAAAGACCTCATCTTCTAGCCCCATTCATTCCCAGTGTTTTGTCTGTTCACTGATCCTGCACATCAACATGCATGCTACCCTTACAGAAAATGGATGACTGCACACTAATCGCAGAAATGACATTCAGCGCTTTGAGTAACTTATTCATATTTATGTTCCTCTATAAGTAAATGCGGTATTTTAACAAGAAACCAAATCCATTAGATGGTCTCCTTACCCGCTTCTCTTGCCAAGTTCCCTGAAGCAGCCACATTGAGCTGAGAAGCAGCATCTGGTTGACTTTCTACAACATCTGGCCTTCTCTCAGCAGCACAATGCACTATAACATGAGGCTGGAAATTAAAGACTAATTTTAAATAACAAACATTGTCAAGAGATTGCAGTTGTGCCCTAACTATAGCAGTGAACTCCCTCAGGCAAAGAGGCATTTCACTAAGCTGTGAGAAGTAATATAAGTGGTAGTAGTATTTTTAATCATAGCATTCTGAGGAGCGTGTTTTCCTTAGGAAGTAAAACAGAACCATGTTACTTCAGGATTTCGTATTAGAATACCAAAAAAAATTGATCATTAATTTTGCAATTATGATCTTCAGTAGCTTCAGTTTTACAGCAAGATTGAAGTTGTTGGGTTTTTTAACTTGGTATAATAATATAAAATATAATAATAATATAATATATATATCTCACACACACATAATGATACTTAAAAAAACATTAGCCAAACTAATTACATGGCTTATTTGACATATGCAGACTCTTAACAAGATATTTAAAGCCATTTTATAAATGGCACCCTGCATAAAGTATATCAGGTTTTATATATTCCCCTTGCAAATCAGACTGAAAAAACATTGAACTTCTTACTGCACTGCACGCTAGGCATGCAGTTACTGCTGTTGTATTCAAGTATTCTTCAAAAGAACTGCTTCATATTACTATGTCAGTAACTCACATTTATCTGTTTCTTTCAACTATCAATGCCAGTGTGCTGACACGTAAATCTGTTACTTGCAGTCTATCTATGGCGATGGCAGCAAAGTTCAGAACTACCTCTATCTACAGAGCAAACCTACGCTCCAGATGTGGCAGAAAAGGCAGCCATAGAATTTTTCAGAGCTCTGCCAAAGCATTAGCCCCACTAAAGCCACATGAACTCAGTATCAGAACAGCACTGTCAGCTGATTACCATATGTATAAAGTACCCTATCCATATACTTCATACTCCAGAAACTCACCTGAAAATCATGGATAATGTCATGAACTGCAATAGAGTCCAGAAGATTAATCTGTTCAAATTTGGGCTGAGCTCTCCTGTATCCACAGCCAACTGCATTCCAATTATTTTCATTGAATTCTTTAAACACAGCTCTGCCAAGAAGTCCCGTAGCACCAGTAATGAAAACTCGCCTACTGGGAATATCAACATCTTCCTAGGGAAATGAGAACAGGGAAAGTTTTCTTTGTGCTGTTATTTATTGCTGTTTTTTCTTAAAAAGTATGCAAGGCTACAGTCAGTGCTACTGTACTAAATAGCTTTCCTTGCCACATGAGTGTTTTGGAGTGTCTCATGGAACACAAACATATGGGAGCACCAATACTGTACCTAGTCAAGTACTTACACGTATTTTTGAAGATACTGAAAACAAAAGTTAAATGGAAAACTCATTTACTTCTACAACAAGAGGAGAAAACAAAACAAACCACTAATGAAGACAGAATTTTAAGTTCATTCAAAATCTGGTAACTTTTTGCAATTTGAAATGAGGGAAATAACTTCTTTTGAAAATGGACCCAAAATATTTACGATCCATATCCTGCAACAAATAATTTTGGATAGACTGTGCCCATTAGAGGTTGCAGCAATACAATACAACTCACTGTGGGCCTATCTACAACGATTGTGAGAACTGAAGACTTGAATTTTATTATTAAATAGAACAGTAATTCATCATTATTCAACACACTAGTCTAATAGTAAGTAAAACCAAGACACAGCTCTCTCTCCTCAGTTTTACAAAATGCATCTGAAAGCGATTTGATAATTCAAGCTCTCAATCTATACAACATACTAAAGCTTTACTTCAGATACCACACATGTCAGTTCTTGAGACAGTTGTGTACACCAGTTCACACAAGTTCTTTCCTCTCCAGCACTCACTAGACCATTAAGTTTTCAAGACAGCAAACACAAGATTCATGTCTGTCTGTGCAATCTTTATTTTCCTTTCATGCTTTCCTTCTGCACGTATTATGGAACAAGAGCCTGCTAAAAACAAAAGCATATGCTCACATGCTCATACAGAACAAAACTTCAGCTGTGCAGAATCCATAAATCTTGGATTTCCTGCCCACTTTATACACAAGGACGATTTGTAATAATTGATTATAATTTTGTAAATGCGCTCTACTATGCAATTCAAATAGCCCAGTCACTTCTGAGCATTCCTACATTTTCAGCATTCTAACAGACCACTACTTTTTGATTGCAGCACAGGAAGCAACAGAAATTGCTTCCAAATTACTGTCTGTCTTTCACCCTTAAAGTTAAAAAGTTTTTATTCCATAAGGCTATATGCAGAGGTGCATTGTGGAAACAGCCTATCCCAAAACAATTGCTTAAAGTTCCCAGCACACTGCATGCATTTTCCTCAACTCTAAATCTTCAGATTTATTCCCATCAATACTGAATGAAAATTAATAATTTCTATCTGGACAGTTTCTTGAAAATGACAAACTACAGGAAGTAATGTTTTTAAAAGTTACCTTTATCCTTACAGTCAATTTGACCTCAGAACACAAGTTTATTTACAAATTTTTAAGGCCGCGCATGTTTCTCTGAAAAGCATAAGCAAGAACATGCGAGTACTATTTTCCTTTTTTGTTATGTACTTTTTATCTTAGCAAAGTCTGGATAGACCGTCACAGGACAGATTATCAGTGGTTTTATAGCCAGAAGGTACTCGCTAATAAACATCAAAGACTTGCTGCAGAAAAGATTTGAAAGGTTCTCCAAAAACATCACAGAGTATCTTTAATAAGTAGAAAGTGACCAACGCAAAAACATGCGTCGTTTGTAAGCATTTTAAGCATCATTCATCTAAGTTTGTTTATTCTACGCATCATAAAGAGGATGTTACGTTAGCAGCACAGCTTGAACTGAACACAATCACAGCTTTCGCCAAGTTAGGCACAGTTTGCATCTCGTTGCTCTTGTCTGCAAGACTAACTGATTTTAGTCACTTGTTTCTGAGAAACCAAGGTAAGTGATAGATGTTTCCCATAAATTCAACACAAAGTGACTACCGGTTTAAACGTATTTCACCTTGCCAGAAGTTAAACGTTCTGGTAATACAAGACCTCCATTTTTTCCCTACATGCTGCCTTGCTGCTTCCAGAATGTCACCCAGCTGCAACAGCATTTCTGTCTCAGAAACCACAGACCACGGAACTTCCGAGTCCAGAGGACCTCCGAGGTTTACAGTTCCCACTGCAGATGCTCTCACAGACTTGCAGAAGCTACTGCTGTTGCCTCACAGCTGTCCACACACAGACAAGTGAATACGTATTAACAGCACCCAATACCTCAGTGTAGCAACCAAATCGTCTTCAATAGCTAGCAAAGCTAAAAAGTTAATTGCTGTTACTTGCCTTGTCTTGCAAGGAATTAGTCACGGTCCTCTAGAAAAGAAGGTGGCAAAAATCTGTATCTACTATCTAGTAGTATCAGTACTCAACTGAAACCACATATGGAGTAGCATCTTCTTTTTGACTTTTGTTAATTTACGTATTTTTTCTTACATATGGCTGGAGTATTAATAATGTAATGCAACTAAAAGATAAGACTGCTCTTAACTGTTATCCTAACCAGTTTGAAAGTACACTTTGAACTTGCAGTAATTTTATAGAGAGTCACCATATGTAAAGAATAAAAGACATTCTAGAATTCAAATGTAAGCCTTCTGCCTGCGAGTTTTATAGTCTTAAATGCAAGTTCTTGTTCAGATTAGCCCATCTGCTAAGAAATCTTTTACATATGTTTCTCAACTAAGAAGCAATCATATTCAGAGCCATCAAATGTGCAAAAAGTTCTCTTAGCAACTGATTTTGGATAATACTACTCAAGTGCACAATTTTGACCTTTATAATAAAGCATCTAATTTCATTTTGCTTTATCTGATGTTCAATATTGAGAAATTATTAATGCAATAAAAAAGATTTGTACTCGGCAGTCTCACTCAGAAAAAAACATACAAGCAACAACATCGTAAGATTAAAAAATAGCATTTACGAGACCTCAGATTACTTTGTAGACACTACCAAAATACAAAATAAGAGTATAATTTACAAAAATAGTAAAACGTGATGCATTTCGAGGTGAAAACCAAGATACAAGTACTTTTTAAGCTTTAAATAAAAACTAAAATTGACAAAATCACGATGAACTCAAAAATACGAATTTTAAGGAACGCCCACTAAAAACGGAAGCTACTGAGATTTGCAACAGAAGGTGATGACAAGTCACTGCAGGGACGTCACTGCACTGAGCTCTTCATTCAGCTCTGACATCGCCTACAGCAACAAAAAGCAAAAGGAAAACCAACAGGCTTTCCTGAAGTCACGGACTGACACGCAAATACACCTTGACGCTGACAAGAAGTTGTTACGCAGTTAACCTACACCTGACGCGCTCACCCCTGCAGCAGTTAAAAGCTGCACCTGTCGAACGTTATTGACAATAAAGGTGACAACAGCCAACAGCAAGCCTACAGCAGTAACGATACGGGGAGTCACTGCAGCGTTCCCTAGGGCAGAGGAATCTTCCCCGCGCAGCAGGGCCGCCAAGACTGAGCGGCTTAGCGGGCTGAGCAGACACAGCTTCCCGCTGCAGAACGAAAATACCTTTACAGTAATTCACGTGAGGAGACACACGCTCATGCCGGTTTCCCGAGCCCGCGGGCAGCCCCCAAGGGGGAGGGCGGCACCCGAAGCACCGTGAAAGCGA